AGCGTCGAGCGACTAGAAGGCTGCGCAAACTGCCAACAACTTGTGCCCGCCTTGCTTTCACTTGCGCTGAAGTTCAGGTGGCCATCGGGAAGGCGAAAGCCTCCAAAGCCATGGGTCCCGACAAAATATGCATGTTGATGATGAAAAATTTGGGTCCTGCGGAAGTAGCGTACGTAACGGAGGTCCTCAATATGTCAATGGCCACTCTCATCATCCCAGACATCTGGAAGGTGGGGAGAGTGGTTCCACTGCTCAAACCGGGGAAACCAGCCAACAAAGGAGATTCTTATTGACCGATAACACTCCTTTCCCCGGTAGCGAAGACACTAGAGGGCTTTCTGCTCCCGTATTTCACGAACTACCTGACCCCAGCGAAGCATCAGCATGGTTTACGTAAAGTGCACAGTACAACAAAAGCACTTAAACGCCATCAATACTCAGATAACTCGTGGCCTTAACCGTAACCGTCCCTGTGAGAGAACTATTCTAGTAGCATTGGACCTGCCAAAGGCGTTTGACACCGTCAGCCACTCCACGCTACTAGAAGACATAGCGGCTTCCTCTCTCCCACAGAGGCTCAACGGGTGGTCGGCAAATTATCTGAGTGGTCGACACTCGTCGGTAATTTTTAGAGACAAATCGAGCAAACTCAGAAAAATAAAACAGGGTGGTGTCCTTTCCCCCCTACTGTTATATTTCAAAGCTCCCTCGATTTCCAGAGGGAGTCTCGATTGTCTCTTACGCCGACGATTGCTCGATCATGGCGACTGGGAATGGAATTGATGACTTGTGTTCGAAAGTAAACGGGTATCTCTCCGAGCTTTCTCGCTTCTTCACTGCAAGGAGCCTAACCCTCTCCCCTTCGAAATCCTCTGTATCCTTGCTCACCACCTGGACGAAGGAGGTCAGGTTACCGCCGGGAATTCACGTCGATGATACACCAATTCCGACGGTGAATAACCCCAAAATACTCGGAGTAACCTTCGACAGTCTGCTCTCCTTCTCTGCGCACGCAACCGGTATTGTCAATAGAGTACAGAGCCGCAACAAGGTCCTCAAGTCGCTAACCGGCAGCACTTGGGGCAAAGACAAAGAAACGTTGCTGGCAACATACAAGGCAATACGCCGGCCGGTTTTATATTACGCAACAACACCTACACGACGAGGCGAAATTGCTCCCGATCAAGGAGCATAATACAATGCTCTGCAAGTAGTTCCTCGTTGGGAGCCATAGACGTGGTCACCCAAAAGGGCAGCTGCTTGCAGAAGAGCCCTCGCCCAGGCACGTCAGGAGGCATCTCTACGAACTGACGGACGAAGTCCAGAGGTTCATTTAAAAACCTCTGGACCCGTTAGCTTATCGACAGGCCCTGAACGGCATTCACAGGGAGTCAGTCTCGAGTTATGTAGACTCCAGACCTGTGAATGCTGTTCTAGGCGTACAACCACCGGACGGCGGACGAGACGGAGCTTCTACTGCCTCGGGAGACAATAACCACAATAGCCCAACTTCGCTCTGGCTACTGCAGCAGGTTAAACTCATACATGACCAGACTAAACGCAGATGTACCAAATGAGTGTCCGGCATGCGGAGAGACACCTTATGACTCGAAACATCTCTTCGTATGCCCGGAAAACCCGACAACACTAACGCCTTTGTCCCTGTGGACCGACCCTATTGAGGCTGCACGCTTCTTAGGGCTGCCGTTAGTGGAACTTGACAACGACTGAGATATCAACCGATCTGGGCGGGGTTATTGTAGCCGCTACAACACGCGCAGAAAGAAGTTCTGCCACTCTTCTCCGGTAACACAGAAAGGAGAATTTTGCATAGTAAGGGTTATGATCCCTAAGCGCGGTCGAAGGCCGCCAACGCAGAAAGGAGATCTGCCACTCTTCTGCGGCAACACAGAAAGGAGAATTCTGTGTAGTAAGCGCGGCCTTTCACATTTATTGTTATTTCACATTTATTGTTATTGGCATCATTAACTAAAACCTTCTGCCTTATCCTGAGTTTCGCACGAAGAAATTTCACCCGAAAATTTGTATTCCGACAATAATATTCCATTCCATGTAAACCAACCGTGAAAAGTGAACCGGTTCGGGGAAAATGAAACTCATGATAAGGCCTCTTCTCTAAAAGTAATATATTGGCAACACCAAGCACCTCCATGTTTTTATTACACCTAACTGCAACTAGCAGAACAAATGCGACGCCAGTTTTTTGCACATTGTTTTCGCATTAATATTTAATTAAATCAATAAGTTTCGGGGCTTTTGTTTTACAAATTCAGTTAAAGTAAACTATAGTGAACATCTATATACAAATATGTGTTCAATTAATGCATTTATTAACGTGAATTTAGTACTGACAAAGTTGAGTTGAATGAAACGGTTTTTTGCGAATAACTTTTGGAGGGTTTAAAAAAATCAGTTTTCGGGTTCTTAATACGCATTGTTTGATAACCCTTTCGATTATTTTGCATCAATTTTCGATGGGGACCATGAAGTGCACAATTCCCTTTTTTCTTAATGCAGATACAAAACTTCAGCTAACGTATGCGGAATGAAATATGAACTAATGCAGTAAAAAGAAACAGCTATACTTTCGGATGCAACAAATTTTGTTTTTCCACTCACCTAGTTATTGTCGAAGTGTCCAAGAAAAAATTTTATGGAAAACAGTCATGTCTCCACATGCAAACGTTTTTGCCTACCAACTGTCATTTTTTTTTATTGCCTGACATAAATTTTATCAAAGGCAATGTTTTTGCCCGGCCATTTTTGATCTTGATAAAAGCATTTGAAAGATGACTCTTTTCGCCGGATTTAATCACTTAAAATATTAAAGAACATGCTATTTCACATCCAAGTACATAATAACATATATTTTAATAGAAAACAGCTTAATTTTCGCTTTTATAATAAAATATCAATAATGTTGCCGCCACGAAGTTATCGCGCAAATGAAAATGTAGCTGTCAAACTGCTAAATTGCTGGCAATATTTATCAAGATAAAAGCTCTGATAACACAGGCCAACAAAAATGAAAAAAAAAAATGGTGGTGCGACAAATGTTAAAGCAATTTTTGATAGACTTTTTTGTGCTGATTACGAATCCGTAAGTCCAAAGGATCCAACACGTACAGGTTTTTAGGTCGAGGTCAAAGTGTCAAACAATCGGGCTTTTTCAATATTTGAGAAGCTCTAGCAAAGAGTAAAAAGGTGATAGAACCTTCCACTTAGACTTAGATTAAAGCAAGAACCCTCGACTACTATCCTTGAAAATACCATTCCTGCACATTGAATTTATGGTCACTTATAGTCATTTATTGAGCAGTAAAATTTGACTTTTGGCGAAGTTTGAGTCCCTGCCGCAATTAAACAAAAGGTGATAGAACCTTCCACTTAAGCTTAAATTAAGGCTTGAACTTTCGACTACAATCCCTAAAAATACCATCTCTTCGTCTTGACCCTAAGATCACTTATAGTCGTTTATTGAACAGCAAAAACTGATGTTGGCAGCTTTTTTTTTCAATAGCACAATTTGCCAGCATTTTTTGTATTGTTCAACAAATGACTAAATGGCCATCAAGTAAAGGTGCAGGGATGGTATTTTCAGGGGCAGTAGCCTAGGGTTCTAGCTTTAAGTTAAGCCTAAGGGAAGGTTCTACCACATTTTTACTCTTTGCTCGAGCTTCTCAAATATTGAAAAAACCCGATTTTTTGACACTTTGACCACGATTTTCTCAAAATCTGTACGTGATGGAATCTTTATAATTACGGATTCGTAATCAGCTCAAAAAAGTCTATCAAAAATAAATTTAACATTTGCCGCACCAAAATCAGTGTTGCCCTGTGTAATTATTGCTTGCCAAGAGCAATATGTGGTCTCCATTGGTAAAACTTTGCCTGATAACATTATCAAGATAAAAAGTTTTGCCTGTGGAGACAGCAAGTTACGATTGATCTGTTTAAATTTTCAGGCATAGTGTAGAGGGCCTTTTCAAAAATATTATTTTGGAACATTATTGTGCCAATTTGAGTTTTTTTTAGTCATTTAGACGATAAAAAGTCAAAGATATATTTAGGGTTCCTTTTATGGGTCCCCATTGAAAAATATTTCCCTAATCCGTTGTATAAAACTGAAGTTAATGTGGCGCAAGCACATTTTGAGAAAGCGCTCATAGCCGCTTACAATTTTCCTTTTCAACGTTTAAAAAATCTTGGGTCAAGTGGTATGCACATATTTCCATGAACGAAAGACACAAGATCACGCGGTAAGGAAAAAACGTAAAAAGTTATTTTCTAGCTGTCGAAATCTCGACGCCATCTTTGTTGTAAGAAGTAAACAACGAAGAGAACGGAGAAAACCGCGAAATTGTTGAACGCATGAAAAATCATTTTTATTATGCAAATTCTTCTATAAATCATGCCGTTGTGTTAAATTATTCTTTATCTTATGTGTACACACGTTGTCACAAGTGAAAATGAAGAAAATTGCAGTAAAAAGCCACCACCAAATTGTATACAACGAAGAAATGTAAATAAACGGCTAATGTAAAAGTCGCCCAACTTTTTTCCTAAATGCGATTATAACGGGCTAGTCTCCAGCCCGCGTGATCTTGTCTTTTTGGTTCATGACATATTTCACTATATCCCTGGCTCTTGCATAGCCTCTAATGTTTTTTTTGCTTACTTTGAACTTTATTGCCATTATACGCTGTGATTTCGCAGAGAGATCCAGCAATTTATGATTCTTTTTACGGTCTCATTTCGCCGCAATGTTAAACATGTTTTTTGCACTCGTGGGTTTTCCTTCTACTGTTTTCCTATTCTATAAAGCCGACATTTCCTTTGTAAATAAATTTTTTTTTAAGTCTCATAGAGAAAAAATTAAAAAGCACGTTACTTATCGTAACATTGAGGCCCCTATTATGAGTTGCAATCGATTATCGATCTTCGCTGGTTATCGAAGATCGAAGATCGAATGTAAATTTGGTATTATGAGCTATGCAGCCCTGTCGAAATTTTCGTTGAGTATCGAATTTTCAGTCGAAAAGATTTTTGTTTTCGATGCTGTAGCGTAGTGTGAGAAAATTGGTGATAATGTAAGTATTTTGCGTTTGTTTTTTATTTTTTTGGCGACTAAACAGTAATTTTAAACAATGTTTACCAAACAACAACTGGAAATGCTGGTTTCAATGATGGAACAAAATCGTCAGTTTGCAAAAGGGATTTGCTCAAAGTTTAATGCGGCACAAAAATGGGAAGAATTTACGCAGGAACTCAATTGTTTAGGACCACCTATACCAACGACGACAAAATGGATTAAGGTGAACTGCGTTGTTTTTGATTTCTGTATAAATAAATTTTAGTTCTGGTCTTTTCAGGTGTGGGCTGACATGAAGTCCAAAACTACAAAGAAAGCAGCGCAAATCAAAGCTGAATACCGAGCAACATGTGGAGGACCGAACAGGCTACAAGCATATACAAATATTGAGGAGGCCATAATTGGCTTGCTTGAGCTTGACGCCTGTGTGAATCCACCGGGAGCAGAATTCGGCCTGGATATAACTGCTGATGACCAACGCCTGAAAACCTGCAACCAATAGACAATTTAGGATTGAGCGATGAGGACCACAATTATGCAGTTCCGGAAAATACAGCACGCAAACCAAGAGCAAAAAAGTGCAACAAGACAGAGAGGCTGAAGTTGCTGGAATCGCAGACCTATGCCCAGAAAAGGTTCTATGAGGAGATGATTACAAATATAAAGGACATTAAAAAAGTGCTTTAGAAACTGAAAAGTACACGAGAAAAATGTATTACTTAAAAAAATACACACCAAAAGACCTTTTACAATTGAAAAAAGAAAAATTACAAATCTTCAAAAATGAAGTTCTTCAAAGCCAGAAGGATCGTAGAGCAGGATCGTAGCTACAACTAAAGGTTGCGCTTTTGGAGGTAAAGAAACAAATGCTGCCAAGAACATCTATATATACAGGGTGTCCCAGAAGTAACGTGCCAAAGTTAAGGGGAAGGTAGGTGGGGGGTGAGCTCCCTGATAAACAAAAAATTTTCAGGCAGAAGTGTCACCGTTTTTGAAATATTTACATTTTTTCGAATTAAAAAAAAAATCGTGCCTTTTCATGTGTTTTCTTTAACTGTAACTACAAACCGGGCAATACTTAGTAATTTTTTTATGTAAAATACTTCCAGATAGTTGCCTCTCCATACTCAAACGCAATGTAGTTAAAATATATTAAGGAACCATCATAAAAATATGACTATTTCTGGATTTTTAACTTTTTGATATTTTCTTCCCCAACTTTGACTATCTCGGGTGAAAAAAAATGTACTGAGCTATAACTTTACATTACATAAAAAATTGCTCATTTCATAAAGATTTCAGAAAGGTGCCACACTTACTGTTTCGAATTGAAAAAAAAGTTATAGCCGCTTTTGTGGGTAAAGGACTGAGACACGCTAGAATGTATTTAATAGATTTAAATTGAATTTGCTCTTGTTACCGTCAAATGACATGCTAAATAGTACAAAGGTACATTATTACCTGCTCCTGACATTATTTTGTGTTACTTACCGGAATTAGTGAAAGCAGATTTTGTGAAATTGGACCCTTCGAACATTGTGTTATTAATACTATGACAGAGAACACGCAGTATACGTCGCATGAATATGCGGAAGCTTGCTGTAATGCCAGAGCTGCTCAAAGACTCTATGCAAAGCGATACCCCAATCGTCGACATCCGGGTCGTGAAGTATTCGCCCGGACCCATAAAGAAATATATGAAGGTAAGTGATTTTTACACCTTTCTTGTTTGCTTGCTTGTTAACTATCATTTTTCACTTTTTTAAGGTCGCATACCTGGAAGGCGTGGCGGCGAAACAGGACGTCCTGCAACGGTAGATGTTGAAGCTGTGTTAGAGGAAGTGGAACTAGGTCCATCGACTTCAGTGAGAATGATGGAAAGACGGACGGGAATACCAAAAACTACAGTTCACAAAGCTTTACAAGACCATCGATTTCATCCATACCTCATTCAACGTGTTCAGGCTCTACAAGAAAGAGATTACCTGTCGAAAGTTAGATTTTGCCGTGAAATGTTGCGAATGCATGAATCAGACCCCAACTTTTTTAATAAAATAATTTGGAGCGATGAATCATCATGCACACGTGATGGTTATTTTAATTTACATAACCTTCACAGTTGGCAGATAGACAATCCTTACGAAATGAGAGAAGATCGATCGCAGTACCGGTACAAAATAAATTTATGGTGCAGTATTTTTAATTGTCAGATATTGGGACCTGTGGATCTGCCGCCAACGCTCAACTCTCACAGTTATTTAGAGTTCCTTCAGGAACGGCTTCCAACTCTTTTGGAAGATGTACCCTTAAACCTGCGGCGAAGACTATGGCTGCAAAATGACGGGTGCCCTGCTCACTACGGGCGTGAAGTAAGAGCTCATTTAGACGAAACTTATCCTCGCGGATGGATTGGACGATACGGGCCAATCACGTGGCCCGCTCGATCGCCAGACCTGAATCCATTAGATTTTTTCTACTGGGGCTGTCTTAAGGACACAATTTATTCAAAAACAATTCAAAACGAAGAGCATTTGCGGGAACAAATAAATGGAGCTGCTGCTGAGATAGCCCAATTGGGTTTAAGATCTCTAAAAGCGTCTTTTCTTAAAAGGTACCGAGCTTGTATTAGAGTAGAAGGTCGCCAATTTGAGCATATTTTATCAATAAATGAATAAATTTTTCTTAAAACAACTCATGTATATCTTATTTCACGTGAACCCATCCTTCACACAAAATATTTATAGATATAGCCCTTGTTATAGACTCTAGTCCGAATTACGGTAAGTAACATAAAATAATGCCAGAAGCAAGTAATTATTTACCTTTGTACTATTTAGCATGTCATTTGACGGTAACAAGAGCAAATTCAATTTAAATCTATTAAATACATTCTAGCGTGTCAGTCCTTTACCCACAAAAGCGGCTATAACTTTTTTTTCTATTCAAAACAGTAAGTGTGGCACCTTTCTGAAATCTTTATTAAATGAGCAATTTTTTTATGTGATGTAAAGTTATACCTCAGTACATTTTTTTTCACCCGAGATAGTCAAAGTTGGGGAAGAAAATATCAAAAAGTTAAAAATCCAGAAATAGTCCTAATTTTATGATGGTTCCTTAATATATTTTAACTACATTGCGTTTGAGTATGGAGAGGCAACTATCTGGAAGTATTTTACATAAAAAATTTACTAAGTATTGCCCGGTGTGTAGTTGCAGTTAAAGAAAACACATGAAAAGGCACGATTTGTTTTAAATTCGAAAAAATGTAAATATTTCAAAAACGGTGATACTTTCGCCTGAAAATTTTTGTTTATCAGGGAGCTCACCCCCCCAACTACCTTCCCCTAAACTTTGGCACGTTACTTCTGGGACACCCTGTATAAAAATGGTGTGAAAAATGTATAGTAATTCATGAATTGAGAACGGTTGGGCCGATTTATGGTCCGATTTGCTTAAAATTTGGTAGGTAGGTAGCTTTTTGCCTATGTTAGCATAAAGGATGCTTTTTTCCGGGAAGTGGACCAGGGACCGATCTATTCGAAAAGATCGTATTTATCGTCCGATTTGCTTAAAATTTGGTGCGTAGGTAGGTTTTTGCCCAGATTAGCATATATGATATTTGTTTTCCGAGAAGTGGACCAGGGACCGATCTATTCGAAAAAATCGTAGTTATGGTCCGATTTGCTTAAAATTTGGTACGTAGTTAACTTTTTGCCTAGATTAGCAATTAAGATTCTTTTTTTCCGGGTAGTTTCACTTCTTCTTCTTATCCGACATGTTAGCTATCTGACAGAAAACGTGTTTCGTAATTTTTGTTTTACCAACTTTTTCAAAAAAAAGTCCAGCTTTTGACGTTGGAAAAATAAAACAAAGGAAAGCCAAACATATAAGTAGAGAATTTATCTAATATTTTTAAATCATTTTCTTCATAACTGCTGCTTCCGTGGATATTGCAACACACGGAATAGATGTAGTAATGCAGCTATAGGAGCCACCTCATACGACAGAATTTATCGGCCGCCTATTTAAATAGTAGGGCTCGCTGGAAATATATACATGAAGATGTATGGAGGTGCGCACACTACACCAACTTAATCGCTCCGACCAATTAGTTGTGGTGCAATTGAAAGACTAGCAAGCCCAACTAAATCGGCGGCCGCTAAAGTCCGTGGTGTGCGATGGATCTAAAACATTTTAAACAAGAAATATTGCAGTCACATTTTTGTTCTTAGGATTTTTATTCATGTGATTAGCAGTGGCAAGAATGTATGTATTAAATACGTATATGTATATTAAAAATGAAGTGATCAGTTATCTATATATATAAAAATGGCGTGAAAAATGTATAGTAATTAATTAATTGAGAACAGTTGGACCGATTTGGCTAATTTTTTTTTCAGTTGTTCGTAATTGCCAGGAGAAGGTTTTTTTGGGAAAACCCTCCTTGAAAGTCGGAAAATTTGAAAAATCGAAAATTGATTTTTTGTTTGGAATTTTGTGTGCAATTCCTTCGGAATGGAATGGAAAAATAGAAAATTCTAAGTACAAAACTCGGAAAAATCCGGAAGAACGCAAAAAATTTTAATTTTTTCGACGAAAGCTTGGAAAATTTCGGATAATTGTGAAATTCATTGGGAGCTTGAATCAATTGGGAACAATTTTCTCCTATATATCATAGGTGATTCGAATGGGAGCTGCTTTTTTAGAAAGGTGTTTAGAACAAGAAGTGCACAAAACTTTAATTTTCCGATAGGTGGCGCAGGGGTCGAGCTAGTCTTGTTTATGGTCTGATTTGCTTGAAATTTGGCACGTAGGTAGCTTATTGGCTGGGTTCACATATAGGATATCAGAAGGTGGACCAGATACCGATCAATTCCAAAAAATCTTATTTATGGTCCGATTTTTGCTCGAAATTTGATACCCGTATTATAGATATGCGTAGAATAGAATCGAGTCATTGTTTTATAGTTCGAAATGTGTTTGAAGGTGGCGCAAACATGCGGGTATTGACTATTTAACAATACTTATTACACAGGCCAACAAAAATGGGGAAAAATTTGATGCAGCAAATGTTAACGCTATTTTTGCCGAATTTTTGTGTGCTGATTACGAGTCCGTAAGCATAAAGTTTCCATCAGATCCAGATTTAAAAAAAAAAACGAGGTCAAAGTGTAAAAAAATCGCGTTTTTTTTCAATATTTGAAAAGCTCTAGCAGAGAAACAAAGGGTGGTAGAACCTTTCACTTGTTTCATTGCTAGAGCTTCTCAAGTATTGCAAAAAGCGCGATTTTTTGACACCTTCACCACATTTTTTACTTTATACTTACGTATTCTTAATCAGCACAAAAAAGCCTATCACAACCAGCTTCAACATTTGCCGCATAAAAATCGGTGTTGCCCTGTGTTACCTACACTAATTATATAAAGAGAAGCTCCTTATTTTTATAAGAGGTGATCTCGCGAACGACTGTACCGATCTTCTGAAATTTTGTAACCTACTGCAGACTTTCGATATATTAATGGAGCGTGGCATCACCCATACATATTGAATTTTTCATACCGTATATCTCTGAAAGTATTTGTGGTAGTGTCCTGGAAATTGGTATAGAGATTTTGGGGCTACTGCAAAAGGGACGTGGCGCCTTCCAAACATATTGAAACTTTTACCTAGCTTTAAATATATACACCCAGAATAGTGTTTTTTTCTTTTTCATAACAAATTTTTTTGTTATTTCTTTATAGAAATGTAGTTCATTTTGCATCAAAT